TAAGTAGGTAGATAAAGGGATAGAGAGAGAGAGAAATAGAGAGAGAGAAAAAATACAGTAGGTAGTTAGAGAGTGTGTGTGTATAGGTAGGTAGGTAGGTAGGTAGAGGGATAGAGCGAGAGAAAAAAATAGAGATAGAGAGAAATACAGTAGATAGGTAGGTGTTTCTGCTGGAACTGCACTTGATCAATGCAATTCTCATCAATCAGTTAAAGAGCTTTCCAAAAGGGGAGAAAAAGTTTTTGCACTCTGCAAACCTCCCAAAAACAGCCTGTTTTTCATGAAAACAGGCCCATTTTTTTTCAAAAAAGGCATGAATAGCCTTGGGGAGGCTTGCAGAGTGCTGGGGGGGGGGTTAAAAAGGAGAAAAGGCAGCCTATTTTTCATGAAAACAGGCCCGTTTTTTGTAAAAAAAATTGCATGCATAGACTTATGGAGACTTATAGAGTGCTGCTGCGGGGGTGGGTGGGCGGGCAAAAACTGGCCTTTTTTTTTGCTCATTTCTGCACTCCCCAGCCACCAGGAGCGCTCTGAAAGACGCCATAAGGGTATGCACGGCCATTTTGGTGAAGGGGCGGGGCTTCGGGAAGCAAAAAATACTGTATTTGTTGTATAAGACGCACCCAGATTTTCAGTCTCTTTTTTGAGGAAAGAGATTCCGTCTTAGACTCCGAAAAATATGGTAAGTTCTAAAGATTGGTAAAGGCACACTGGAGCTATTATAGTTTTACACTATAATCTTCTTAAAATTCCATTAGCAATTTGCATAGTGTGTAGATATAGAAACATAGTGTCTGTAAAAAAATCTCCAACTGAGTGAGAAAAAATGCTCAAAGCGTATCACAAGATTATTTTAGAGTTCACTGTTTCCTTCTAGTTCTGTCTCCCTCAGAAACAGTTTTTGTGGGATCTAGGGGGTAGCAGCACAAAGTATTACCTAGTGTCCTTCTGCATTGCTTTACACTCTATCACACATTTTTGTTATATTACATCTTGCATAACTTTACTGTCAACTATAGGGTACCAACTATAGTGTACAAAAGCTTAAACATTTTTTAAAAAATCATCTTTACTTCTCAGTTCCCCAGCCTTTTTAAAATCTTGCAAGTTTCAAGATTTAAATGTACACCATTTTAAAATAAATTGCCAAAAACACGAGGAACAGTTAAAAAGTAATAAAGAACACTACCACTCTTATGCAGTTCTACTGCTTTTTTAAACCAGTTACTTTTGTAACGTATTCTAATTTTCTAAGTATTCAAGGAAATTACCCATTGGGGGATATTTTTCAAAATTAAAATTAACTTTTGCACAAAACTGTCTGCTGCTCAAAAATTAAATCAAATCAAAACCAAATATTTATTATTGTCATAAACCAGCATAAATTATTCAGAAAGCCTGTTTTGTCTGTGAAGAGATAACTTTGCCTGGAAAATTAATTCAACAATGCTAAGAAATATAAGATGGGATAAACAGTATATAAAAGGTAAAGGTTCCCCTAGCACATATGTGCTAGTTGTTCTTGACTCTAGGGGGCAATGCTCATCTCTGTTTCAAGCCGAAGAGCCAACGCTGTCTAAAGATGTCTCCGTGGTCATGTGGCTTTCAGGCATCCCTGAAGCCTCCCGAGGGCTTAAACCGACCCTACGAGCAAACCGGAAGTCCGTTCCGAACTTCCGGTTTGCCCATAGGGCTGGTTTTTTGTGCTCCGGAGGCTTCAGGGAAGCTCCTGAAGCCTCTGGAGGGCCTCCGGGGGGGTGGGGGTGGGGGAGGCTCTTTTCGCCCTCCCCAGGCTCCTATAAAGCTTCCAGAGCCTGGGGAGGGCGAAAAATGGCTTTAAAAAAGGCTGAAATGAGCTGCCCAGTGTGGCCAATGCGAAACTAGGGCGTGTGCCCTGACAAATGGCCCCGCATGCCACCTGTGGCACGCGTGCCATAGGTTTGCCATCCTGGATATACAGTGACTTAAATAATTACTTTTAAAATGTAAGAAAGAGAAAAACCTATAAATTTATTAAAGTACAAGTAATTTTTTTATAGATTATTTATCCCATTCCATTCCTTCAAATTCTATTCCTTTAAGTCCCACAATTAGCCTCTTCTCAATATTCCTGGTTTTCAATTCCTTCCACTGAAAAAGGTGTGAACACCTAGTTTTATTCCAACATGAAGGTAGCATGGGAGATTTGTTGGTATAACACTGTTTTTTTCTCTCCTTATCCAATAATTGGCTTCAGGGACAAAGATTTTATATATAATATTTTATATTTATATCCGTATCTATCATCTTAATGTGTTTTATAATATATGAATTATCATAGTAATACCATGTCTAATAATGTTGTGACATAAACCATTGAAGTTGGCTCAAACATTCCACTAAACCCAAACCAAATAATTCCATTGTTGTGACTCAAAAAACCTCTCCCCCCTCCTGCAAATCAGATGTTTTCCTCCTCTGATATGCTATTCACACACTGTGATTTTCCCACATTTTAAAAACTGCTCTCATATGTACCTGGGGGAGGAATTTCTAAATCAGTTGTTTGCTGCACATTAGTACGGCCAGGTCTTGGATCAAAGGTAGGTACTAGAGCAGAAAATTGGCGTTTTAACACATAGTCATCATCCCATGTTCTTCTACGTCCTCCTTTTGTTTCATACTCTTCTTCTTCCTATTCAAAACATTACGGTATGGAAGTAATTGAAAATATGTAGGACTAATTCAAAATATCCATTTGATTTAAAGCATACATAAACATAAAAACTGTGGGGAAAAGGGAAGGTTTAAGCCCAAATTCAACAAATAAATCATTTGTACTTTGTAATTCATCAACAGGCTAAAAAATAAAGCAAACACGTACAGTATTAGGTTTGTATAAGCTGCTCAAATTTTGCTACAATTATAAATCTCTCTTAAATTCAAGACCTGGAATAAATGGAGAGAGAATAGAACTGTTGAAGCATATACACTGTACCATTACTTCTTCATATTCCTGATCTTCCTGATTGTCATCTTCATTTTCATCATCTTCCTCATCTGGCTCTGGCAGATCTTCATCATCATCTAATTCAGCCAACAGAGTGCTAGCTCGACAACTATCAAGGAAATCTACACAGAAAAACATAGATAACCATAAGGTAGTCTCTCAAAAGAAAGATAGCAAAGGTGATAGATGAACTGATTTGATAAATTCAAAGCAGGAACAGGAAAAAGAAGCTCACTTAGCATGATGTTCAAGAAAACAGGAGTGAAACCTATTTAAGAAATTATGACAAATTAGGGAAACATTCAGCTGAAAAAGGAAAAAGGATTTCAGAAAATAACCTGAAAAAGAATGGAAAACTATTTGTAATAAATAAAAAACACAAATCGATCTAATTTTTAATCTTAATGTTAAATGAAAAAAAATAGAAATATGCTGTTTTTTCCATGTATGATAAGGATGAGATTTTATACCTATTATTTCCTCCATACACTTTTGAAAACTTCACAATAGCAATAAAACAATGACTCATAAGACACATTTCCACTTCTTGTCTTCAGAAAGTGTAATAAAAACCCTGAAGAACCATCTTTGTAATTATTTTTAGACTTTTGTAATTATTTACAATTCTAACAAATGATTGGTAACTTGCTATAGCAATTTGAACAATATATTATATTAAAAATTATTGCCTAAATAAAACAAGAACACATTCATTTTCTATGCCTGATCTCATTTCCAATACAATTATTGCTGCAACATAACAACTATTTTGCTAAGCAATAGGGACTCAACAGACTCAACTGAAGCTGCAAGTTGAGGACTACCTACCATGTTTTCCCCAAAATAAGACAGGGTCTTATGTTCTTTTGCCCCACGAAATATGGCCTTGGGCTTACAGGGGGAGGGCTTATTGTTTTGGGGTTGCCGGGCAGCTACTCCCTTGTGAGCAGGCTCCCGAAGAGCTGGGTACAGCCAAGGCACATGGTGCTCTGCCCGCTCCCAAGCTCCTGTGGCTTGGCACATTTGCGTGCGCCTGTTCCGCCCCCAGCAAGCATGCCAGACAGAGAGTCTTCCAGCAGCCAGCCCACAACCATAGAATGCACTCCTAGAGCGGCCGCTGCTAGAAGACTCGGTAGCCAAGTTTTGGAGTTTGGAAGCCGGAGAAAAAGATATGCTCGGAGTGCCGCGTCAGCGCCTGCAGAGAGAGCTGGGCCAGAGCATGGTGAGGCTGGGAGGCATGCTTAATGGGGGTGGAACAGGCACTCGCGCAACCCCTCTCTCCAGCCAGGCAGAGCTCCATGCATTGACCTAGGGTGTATTTGTGATAACCCCTAGGTAAGTGAATGGCACTCTGCCTGGCTGGAGAGAAGGTCTGCCAGATGGCTGCGCATGACCATGGTCACCTCATGGCTGCTTCGCCCCTGAAGCTGTGCCCGGCTCTTCGGGAGCCCACTAACAAGGGAGCAGCCACCTGGCAACTCCCCCCTCTGGCCAGGCAGAACGCCACTCCCCAACCTAGTGGTATCCTGAAGGCGCCAAGCAACATGAGCATCTTTCCGCCTGCCCCAGCTCCCGCGGCTTGGTGCCTTCAGGATACCGCTAGGTCAGTGAGCGAAGGGGGGTTTGTCCAAGGGGCTTATTTTTGGAGGTGGGCTTATATTTTTGCCCACGCGAAAAATGTGGCAAGACGTTAGTTTCAGGACAGGTCGTATTTTCGGGGAAATACGGTATATTTAGATGAGCACAAAAACAGTGCAGCTGCCCTGAACATCAGAAAAAGTTAACAGGTCATCTATGTAACATCTTCCAACAAAGTAGATAGCCACACAACCTCATCAAAAAGTGCCTGACCGGCACAATCAATACAAGCTGCAAATAGGATAACACTACCTGCCATACATCAAATACATCTCAGAAACCGGCAACAGATTATTATATCCACATGACATCAGTGTAGCACACAAACCAACTCAAGCCTTCCAAAACATCTTAGCAGCCCCAGGAAAAAAAAAANCCTGAGCCGGTGAGATTTGAACAGCCAAACTACAGAACTGCAGTCAGCTGAAGTAGCCTGCAGTGCTGCATTTAACCACTGCGCCACCTCAGCTCACCAGTTGGTGACCGCTGCATTAAAGGTTACAAAAGGACTGAAAAAAATGACCTACAAGTGACTTTCACACTTTCTCACTTTCCAGAATCTTTTCAGGTAGTGGCAGATTATAAATGCAGTGAATGGGTGTTTAAACAAATAAATAATAATAAAAGATAAGATTGGCACCCTTTGATCTTTTGCTAAAGTTACAAAAATATTCCTTAAATTAGGGCTGGTCATTTTTATCTGCAATTTCTACGAAGGTTTTGAATTGGATTCTTATTTCTAAACTTTTTGATCTCCCTCTTCCTCTTTATAGCTTCTTACTAAATACAGCTAGTCCTTGACTTACAACAGTTCATTTAGTGACCATTCAAAGTTACAACGGCACTGAAAAAAGGGACGTATGACCGTTTTTCACACTTATGACCTTTACAGCATCCCAATGGTCATGTGAGCAAAATTTGGATGCTTAGCAACTGGTTCATACTTATGACCGTTGCAGTGTCCTGTAAGTCACGCCATCCATCTTTTGCGACCTTCCAACAAGCCAAGTCAACAGAGAGGCAAGATTCACTTAGCAACAGTGTTACTAAGTTAAGAACTGCAGGGATTCACTTAGCAACCAAGGCATGAAAGGTCATAAAATGAGGCAAAATTCACTGAACAAATGTCTCACTTAACAAGGATAAGAAATGTTGGGCTCAATTATGGCCGTAAGTCGAGGACTACCTGTACCGCTAATTTTAAACATTGGGAAACAAAAAGAAGTTTTCGAAAGAGATCTTATTGTCAACCCTGAAGCTGACCTGACTGAGGCCATTTTGAGGCTTCAAGGCTGCCACCACTGGAGCTGAGGGGTAGGATGAGATAGCTGGGATTTGTAGCCAAAACAAAATACTTTCTCTTGGGAACCAAGGACATTCCTGCAGATGCCTGGAAGGAGGGAACTGAGGTCACCTAGCAACTGGACTGTATCTTGATTGGACCGTGTGACTGATTATTTTGAGAAAGTGAAAATTTTCTACTTTCAATTAGGTGAAAACCGTGGGAATGTTTAGAGTTTTCACCAGCCCATGCCAATATGGCATATTCAAAAAAGCTATTCTGCCTTGGAGTTTTGTTTGCTGTGGGTATTTTACATGGAACCCTGACACTTATTTTTACATTTTTCATGCGGTGGCTGAGCTTGTCGATCAGAAAGGTCGGCAGTTCGGTGGTTCAAATTCCTAGCGCCGCGTAACGGAGTGAGCTCCCGTTA